TGTTGCCTTGTGGACACGCGGTGATGAGGCACTGGGTCCCGGCCCCCGGATTGTGATGTTTCAAGTGGCGGTGGGCCGGGTGACGCGGCCCGGGACCTGGTCCCCAGGTCTGGTCCTGACCCCCAGCACCTCGCTCCACACACACATCCGAGGGTCCCCTGCGATCGCCTGGAAAACAGCTCTCCTCGGAGGGACAGCGCCCAAGACCGGCCCCTGACCCCCCGGAGGCCTGGGTGGGGACAAACAAGTGTGTTTGGAGATGGGGAGAGGGGGCTCCTAAGTGGGGGCCACGTGGAGAAGGAAGCGTCTTTTTCCACGGTTTGGATGAAGGAATCCATTTCCAGCCCCACTTGTGACCCCAGTTTCTGAGAGAAGCAAGAAACAGCCCAACTCTCAGGAGCTGGGGGACCTGCAACGTCCTCGGATAGGAATATGCAGGAACAGGACCTCCCTTCTGTTTAACTCTCTAGAAGTCCGGATTTTTTCTTGTTCGCCCAGGACTCCTGGAAAGAGGAGGCCTGTCTGGAAAGAGGGAGGCCTGGAGAGCTAGAAGTTGCTTAAGGTGGAGAAATGACCTAAGGGCATGAGGTCCCAGCCACCTGTTCCCAGCGCAGTGCTCTGTCCCTTTCATGCTCAGAATGTACAGAAAATGGCTTTCAATATGGCTGACCTAGGGTCAGAGTTTTAGCTCAGTGGTTCCGCCACGTGCCTCACAAGCGCAAGGTCCAGAGTTCGATCCCAGGTACCAAAAAATTTAAAAATATGGCTCATCCAGGGGATAAAAGTGGGCAGGGAGTGCTGAGCTAGCCGGTCACATAAAGAATGAGCCAGTGCAGAGACCAGGGAGGAGTGAGGTTACTCTGGGGTCTTGTCTTCAGGAGGAGGGGACCTGGGAATCACCAAATGAGGCTCAGGAAGGGGCTGGCCAACTAGGGGGAGGCAGAGGTCAGCAGAAGGCTGACCTGGGAGCTGAGCCCCCTGGGGCCAGGGCAGGAGTGGGACTGTGTGGGGCTGTGGGATCTGCTGGTCCCTGCCTTGGTTTCTGATCACATAGTCATTTCACTCTCCAGGAGCAGGGCTGCCTCTGCCTGGTGTGGCCAGGTGTCATCCCTTAATTTGCCCATCTGCTAGCCATCCCCCTGTTTATTTTTTTTTCAGCTTTAATTGAGTTTATTGGTACATTTTAGGGATACAGTACAGTTACATTCATTGTTGGGATCTTGTACCTCTACATGACAAGTCTTGGTTCTCATTTTTTCCCCTTACCTCTGCCCTCCCTTAACCCCCTCCTCCCCTCCCCATCTACAAACACTTTATTTTCATC